ATAATTTTATATTTAAAATGTTATGAAAAAGAATTTTAAATATAAAATGAAAGAGAAGCTAAAAAAAACCTTTTAAAAAAAAACTATTTTATTAAAAAAACATTGTTTTCTATAATATAATCCAAATATTTTAGTTTTGCGATTTATTTACGGACTATTAATGCTAATTGGCTAAACAGTTTCCGATAGATTTTCCCATGTAAAGTTAACCATTTACATTTTACAAATAACAGCAGGTATATATACCATATTATACCTGCTGTTATTTATGAAGTGGAAGGTTGACTTCACATAAAAAATCGATTGGAAATCTTTTAGCCTATTAACAGCCAATATGCTCGTTTTAATAGTAAAAAAAAAGCCGTTAAGTGGATTGTCTCCGAGTTACTTTATGATTATAAGGACTGTTTTAAATTTATTATGTCTACGCTTTTATGATGCAAGAAGCTATTTTATATACAGATAATTATCTGATCAGATGAATTCAGATAATCTATAAAATGAAAAAACTTTTTGAAAAATGTTTTGTTAAAAATGTTTTTGCAAATAAGAAATTTTAATTGTGCATTTAAAAGTTAAAATAAGCGGAAATAAGAAAATTAGAATAAGTATATAAAAAATGACTAAAAAATGTATTGCTATTTCTTAAACATAATTTTTTTTTTTTTTGGTATTGTTTTCCGTTTTTGTTACAATTAAATTCCGTAATATAAAACAAACTACTCTTATTCTTTCAAAATAAACCAGTTATAAATATAAAAAATTAAAGACAAAATAATAAGAGTTAATTATAAAAATATATATATATAAAAATGCGGGAAACTTGCAGAAGACCATAAAGTCTTACCATCAAGAACCGTTGTAGTAATAATAATAATAATAATAATAATAATAATAATAATAATAATAATAATAGCAATAATAACAATAATAATAACAATAATAATAATAATAATGATCAAAAAATATGTAAATGATTAAAAAAATTAACAAAGTTTTATGAACGTATTCAATTCGCATCTTTTAAGGTTACCAAATATTAAATTACATTACCCAAGTCATATGTATCCATATGTATCGGAAAAACGCGGGAAACTTGCTATTTGCAAACAATGTTATTAGGAAACAGTTTTCCTAATAACATTGTTTTGAAAAAAAAAAAAATTGATATTTATTACTTATAGTAAAAATCATAAAGCTGAACGAACTTTTCGTTCATTTTCTTAGATACAGACGTTTAGTAAAAATCTTAGGAGTCTTAATAATCACAGTTGAATATTTAAACTATGATTTATATAAAAAACATAAAAAATTAATAAAGTGTGAGGAATATAACAAAATCTAAAATAGTAAAGTCCTCTCTACAATAATAAAACTTTTTTTTCGAGACGTCTTAAGATGCTATTTACGCATTTCGAGTTAAACGTACTAAAAAAAATAATAGCAGAAACTTTTCGTAAAACGATTTTTGAAACTAATGGTTCTTATAAATTTTTTCGCTATTTTTTAAAAAACATTTTTTCAATAACATTTACAGGCATCTAAAAAAGCTTTTTTTTTTTAAAAAGTTCAACTTTTAACTTTTTTTTACTATGAAGCATATTGAAAAGAATAGCTTAACCAAATAACTTTTGCGCAAATTTAGTTTTGCCGCATCATTTATTCGTGCATTTAATTTTTCGGAAAAAGTTATCTATTTTAATGGTAATTCCAGCTGTCAGGGCCGACAACGTGGGGGAAAGGGGGGCACTTGCCCCCCTCCCTTTCTACACACTTTTTACCATAATTTGCGACAAAAAACGTTATTCGGATTCAGCGCTAGTTTACCCAACCGTTAAAAGGAGTTTGTAAATCTGTGAAAGATATTTTTCTCGCTTCTTGAAGATGAAGGTCATCTTTTCATTTTCTTTTTCAGACACTTTTTTCATACATAAAATTAAAAAAAACTTATGAAAGATTTCATTCCTGAAATAGTTTAGTAATTGGTAGCATTGAATCTTTAGTTAAGTAATTGTTGAAACATTGAACCTTTTTGAGATTACCATCAATCTCGAAAAGTTGCTACCACCAATCTCGAAAAGGCTTAATGCTTCAACAATTACTATTCTAGTAATTTCTCTGATAATGATACATTGGTTGTTTCAAGTTTTAAATAATCTTCTGTTTGTCCCAATCTGTTTGTCTTTAATGATCTTGATTTATCTCCTGAAAACATTGAATCTCATCTTTTTTCTATAAAGTTATTTAAATCACAGGACCCTGATGATATACACCTAATCTCCAAACATCTTTCTGCTATTTACACTAAGGTCCTTCAAACTGGTACATTGTCACAAATCTGGAAGGATGCAAATGTCATACCAATTTTCAAAAAAGGAGACAAAAAACTAGTTACAAACTATAGACGCATTAGTTTGACATGCACCATAGTCAAAATATTTAAAAAAAATAATAAAAAAACATATTTTTACTCATCTGTTAAAAAATAATCTGCTAACTGCTAAACAATACATTTTTTAGTCAGGGCGCTTTTGTGAAACAAATCTTCTTGCTGTAATCATTAAAAGGACAGTTAATTTAGATAAAGGTCTCGCCGTCGATAATATCTAATTTGACTTTGAAAAAGCATTCGATAAGTCTCACATGAGCATCTTCTTTTGAAACTAAAAACCTATGAAATTAATGGTCTGATTCTCAATTAGATTAGAAACTTTCTCACAAAACTAAGACAAAGAGGAATAATAAATGGTAATTACTCATATTAGATACCAGTAAAAAAAGGATTTACCCAAAGTTCTGTTCTCTCAACTCTATTATTCATTTTATACGTTAATGATATTCCCAATGTAATTACTTCAAATGCAGCGCTTTTTGCCGACAATACAAAAATATTTTACCCTTTTAGTAAGATATTTATTTATTTTATTTTAGGTGCCCCAAGAAGTCCTTGCAGTCTTATTACAGAGCACCGCGGATGAGTATTTAATTGAAAGCTCCTTCCTGACCGGTGTCGCCAAACCTGCCCAGAGGTGGGGTTGGAACCACGGACCCTTTGTTTCTAAGGCAAGTGCACAACCACTGCGCCACACCTGCTCTGATAAATCACGGCTGCTCTTTATTTAAATCACGACTGCTCTCAATTTTGTATATTAAGCCCTTTACTTTTTGTTATTTACTTTAATTGCCTGGTACCTTACTTGAAACATTTGAAATCTATTATTTACGCTAAGACACAGTCATATAAGTTCCTTGAAAAGATACAGTTATTATAGAATTGTGTCTTTTATGCGATATGGAAGAAATCTCAAAATGTTGTATAAAAAACGAGCTAATAATAATACCTTAGAGGAAAATCTCTCTCAAGGCAACCAAACACAACGAACGTTTCTTACAACTTCAACTCAATGAACCCGATTACTTATTCCATAGATTGGATCCTCTTATAATGTTTGAAACTTTGTTAAATCAAAATTAAATAAAAAAAAAAAAAAAGCTCGACTCTTGGCATACACGTGCATCTCGTATGATAAATGCAAACAGCAACCACAAAGTAAACAAAAAGTTTCCATTTTCGCAAATTCTCATTGTATCGAGTCTATTGAAAAAGCAATCCATTTTTGGTTTATCATGCTCAACCTTTTAAAAGCAACAAAAAATAACAGCAACCTAATTAAAATTTCAAAAATCCGACTTGAATTTGCTTAAAGTTTGTTCTATTACTCTGGTTCGAGAGTCTATAAAGATCTACCGTTAGAAATTAGGAATATCAACTCGTTGTCTGAATTTAAAAATATCTTAAAAATTTATTTTTAAATAACGCTTTTTATAACATTTCTAAAAACCTTATTACTTCAATTGATAATAATTTGTATTATATTTTATAACAGAAATTACATTGATAGCAAAATTGTAATAATTTCTGAAGTTATTTATCCTGTATAAATATTCGTCAAATAAAAAAATAAATAAAAAAAGGCCACTTGTCAAAGCCACCAGGTATTTTTATAACTTTTGCGCTTTTCATACACTTTGAATTCTCAAAAATCAGGTAAATATTTCAAAAAAATATCAAAGAAATAATTTAAACATAATGTTAAATATGATGTAATGTGTATAGAATGTAACATTTTTCACTGGTACCTCGTTGTATAACTGAAACACATTTTTCACTGGTACCTCGTTGTATAACTGAAACACATTTTTCACTGGTACCTCGTTGTATAACTGAAACACATTTTTCACTGGCACCTCGTTGTATAACTGAAACACATTTTTCACTGGCACCTCGTTGTATAACTGAAACACATTTTTCACTTGTACCTCGTTGTATAACTGAAAAACTAAAAATAGTAAAATCTTAAGATTAAAAGACACTTTAAAAAACACTTTTGTGTTCATTTTTTCAAAAATGAATTAGACAACCATGGAATTTTATTGAATTGTAAAGTAATAAACAATGTTTTTTAAGATAATGATTTAAACTGAGGGTTTCATCAATGAGTTAAACTCAGAGTTCGAGCCCTTTTTATTTTTATACTTCCTTATTTTAAACTCATGAAGAATTGTATTGATGCCATTACTTATTCCATAGGATGCTCTTATGTTTGAAACTTTGTTAAATCAAAATACAGAATCAAATCATATACAGAATCAAATCATATACAGAATTATATTATTAGTTATTTTGCCCTAGTTATATTGGTGCTGCACCAAGCAATTTTTGCATAAGTAAAAATGAATAAATGAGAAATATATGTGCGAAATATATGTGCGAAATATACTTAATGTGTTTTTTATATTAATAGAAAGTACTATAATATAAAAAAGTTTGCAACAAATTTGTAAAAATTAAATAAGTAACCAAATCTACCCTAAATCAAATTGCACGGCAAAGATAAAAAAAGTTCGCTAATTACAGCTTTAGAACCACGATTAACCAGAAATCACCAACAAAAAATGTAACCTTTTTTTTAAAATTAAACTCTATGAAGAAAAACAACTTTTAATAGTTATAAAATCTTTTTGTAATAAAGTTTTGTCATAATAAATAAAATAAAAAAATTTTATTCTGAAGTTTCGTCTTCATCATTTGCTGTCTGCTTCACACTTTCTACGATAATTATATTGGAGCTGGTCTTTTCGAAATAACTATCCAAATGACACTAAAAATATTAATGGTAAATTATATATATATATATATATATATATATATATATATATATATATATATATATATATATATATATATATATATATATATATATATATATATATATATATATATATATATATATATATATATATATATATATATATATATGTATATATATATATATATATATATATATATATATATATATATATATATATATATATATATATATATATATATACATATATATGTATATATATATATATATATATATAGCGAGAGAATTTTTTATATATATATATAAAATTCTCTCGCTCATTGTATATTGCAAAAATTGCAACATTCAAAGTTGAGAAACAATTAAAACCCTGAAAATCTTAAGTCTTACCTGTCTAAATGTTAATTGAATACTAATGTTGGCTTTTAAAACAAAAATTGCATTTTCTTATATTAGATAGATTATTAATAAATTTGAAATTTCATTATATACCTGACGCCTTATAACTATTAACATATAAAGTCCAAAATTCTTTTCTAAATGTTGTAAAACTAAAAACTTTTGTATAAAAATCTTAACATCGAAGCAAAAATTTTTGATGGACATTTAAAATACGATTGTTTCATTTTCATTACATTACGTTAAAATTGCTTCATATTTTGTTAAAACAGCTTCATGCTTTGTTAAAATTGCTTCATGTTTTATTAAAAAACTAACACAAATAGGTTAAAATAATAATAAAATAATAATAAAAAAAGTAAATAATAAAATAAACCACTATTATATATTTAAACTTAATTTTTAAATAAAATATAAATAAATTTTTTTAACTTTAAAAAAAATACAACTATGATGAGAAGGAAATTTTAAAGAATTTTTATTTATAATGAAACTTTTAAATAACTTTAATATATAATTTTTTAACAGTTTCTTAGAAAAGAATAGTAAGTAATTTGAGTAAAACAGTTTTAAAAAACAGTTTCTTAAAATAAAATTTATGATTTTTTAAAAAACAGTTTTTTAAAATAAAACGAGTAATTTTTCAAGAGCTTCAGAATATTAAATCCAAAGTTGGAAACAATAGCAAATACTAATAAATACTGAAAACTGATAAATACAAAACGGTTTGTGGATTTTTTAAAATTAAATTCATCGAATCAGAAAAAAATACAAGTAAGTACATAAGTTACCATTTTAAAAAATACAATATCTTTTTTTTTTCCAGGATTATAAAGTAAAATCTTTAGAAATTTAACCATGAATAAATTTATAATCAAAGAAAGACTAAAGATAATTGAATTTTATTTTGAAAATAAACACTCAATTATTGTAACAAAAAAAAAAAAAAAAATTCTTTATGCGCTAAATCAATATTAGATATTCTACAATTACAAAATTGGTGAAGCATTTTTGAAAATAGGGTTATGTTGCTGATAGATCTTGAACAGAACGAGAACCCTCAGTATGCATGACAATGTAGTAAATGTGTGACACAGTATTGAGGACAACCATATCGACCCAAAGGGTCGGTATACCGGTTTAAAGAACTCGGAATCTCACGTCTATGCAGCAGATTCTAAAAAACTTGAACATGTATCCATTTGAGGTTCAGCGAATGCACCTATATAACCATTAGACTTGCAACAGTAGCTAAGTTACACTGTAACAGCAGTTAAATTAAAGTCAAGTAAAGCAGTTAAATATTCTAGACCGTAAAAAAGTTCTGTAAAATATTCAATACTATAAGAATAATAGCAAGTTATTCAATAAACTGTTTTGTGTTGCAAATTGAACAATTGCCTAAGTAACATTTATTGTAAAAATGCCAAATAAGAACAACAGAAGTATGCCGATGACAAATATTTTCAAGATATTTTCATGATGTTTACTGCAACAACATCTACCTAAGTGAATCTAATTAATTGAATAGAGTTTAGAGAACTTATCTGAAGATTATCTGAAGATTAGTATTGTAACTAATGCACCATGGCTGAATATGTTAGAAAAAATAATATAAAAATATAAGAGAACAAAAAATCTTAAATGATCAAAAAATTTAAAATAGGCATTTATGCGATTGATTTTGTTTATTTTAGCTCTTATTAAACAAATATTCATACATAGTAATGGGGTCATTCCATGCCAAATAGACTGAAATTTTAGGATTTCAACATGGATTCCCTCAGATTTTGATGAAACTTGGTGGGTTGGTTTATATCAATGAGAAAAGCAATTCCTGAAAATTTCAGCTTAAAATCTTTTGTGGTTCATGAGATATCGCCATTTGAAATTTCTGATTTTTTCAAAAATTAAAACTTCGTAAGCAAAAACATGTTTTGTTCATACTTTGAAGCTCTGTATTTTATAAACGAAAATTTAGAAAACCTTCGAATTTTTTTAATTATATACAACTGTAGGCTTACTTTGTTAATACCTTGACATTGAATGTCACATTTTATCCATAATGGCTGCCTTAAAAACCTTAAAAATTGTTTACAGATATAAAAAGTTGATTTTTGATGGGTCAATATACAAAATTAGCAACTTAAGAAGTAAAAAGACATATCTTTTTAGTTTCTATATATGGAAGGCTTCCTAATATTTAAAAATTTGCTGATAACATATGATTCAGTAAGAAATAATGGACTCCTAAAAGTGGCTCCGGATAAAACTTTAAAAATTGTGCCTTCCCTTTAAACCATCGGTAACCAAGGATCAACACTGATTTTCATAATATATTTTTTTTACTGATTTAAAAGACTTTATTAAAGTGATTTCAGAAAAAAAATTAGTGGGTACTCATGGGGAAGTGACAAAGTAAGAGCAATGAAGTTGGCACAAAATACATTAAAAACGATAAAAATATAGGTACTGATGTATTTTAGTTTTCATTGTCTACTGCAATGCAAAAAATATATATGTGTAAAAGTATATCATAATCATTACTAGAAATAAGATATAAACTAAGACTGAATTAAACTCAGTTTTAGAATAGCCTACGTTGCCTCCCCTCCCCCCTTTCCATTTACATTTTAACATGCATATTTTTGCTCAGAACATTAAAAGAAATTTGTTATTGAAAAGAAGGTGTTATTGAAGGTTTCACTGATTATTTTCAAATGCACGAAGTGTCTTTATGCGCAAAACAAGAATTGAACATACATATTTAAAAGCTGTGAAATGATAAACAAGTTATTGGGTGTACTTTTTATCTTTATTTTATATATAAAATTTATCATTTTGTATTTAATTATATGTCAAAACTCATGGAAACTTTACTTTACACTTCAAAAATTGAAACTAAATAAATTCTTTTAGATTATAATTTAAAATAAATGGCTAGTGCATCTTTAGATCTAACACAATGATGCATTGGAAAAGCATTAAATAAAGATTGTCATGGAGGAAAGTTTACCAAATTCAAAAAAATTAAATGTTTTGAAGAATTAAACAAAAAAGATCAAGAACTCGTGCACTTACGATGTAAAGTTAATCATATAAAAACTATTTGTTATCACCATGAAAAGATCTTCTTGATTTTCTTCGTACAATGGAAGCTTTTGTTGTGATCCATTTAACAAACACAAAATTAAAATAAAAAGTATTTAAAAATAACTTGACCTAATCAATTATTTCCAAGATAAAGGCTTATTTAATGTTTTATCATTTTGTTTCTTTTTAGAATCTGCCAGAGTAATCAGTGTTGCTGTTGCAAAGGAATTTGATTTAATACCTGGTCATGAGCTTTGTATAGAATGTCGTAAAATATTGTATTTAAAAAATAACAAAAAAGCTTATGAAAGCGATTCATGTAAAAATAGACTGATTTTAATGAGAATCATATTTCAAAAGAAAACTTTAATTTAAGCATTAATAGTCTTGGTTGTTCACCTCTAAAACTAGTAGCCCATAAAGACAGTGTCAGCTATTCAAAAAGAAAGATGAACAAGATCCATACTGCCACCAAAAAGAAAACAGCAACTGTTTTAGAAGTTCTCCCATTTTAATAAACATTCTATACAAAGCTCATGACCAGGTATTAAATCAAATTCCTAAAATGATGAACCAAAAACAAAAAAACTATGTTGCGAAAGTAATAAGACTTGGACTCACTAATGGAATTAATTTTAAAGCAAAGTTTGATATTTCTTCAAAATCAGAAAAACTTAAATTACTAACTTTAGTTCCTGAGAGTTGGAACATTATACACATGACTATACACAAAACTATTTTTCTGCTTCCCAAAGAATGATAAAAACTGCAAGACATTTGAAACAAATGCATGGCATAATGGTAGAACTGTCTAAAAAAGAGGGAAGACCTAATAGTGAGAAAGTAAAAAATCAAGTTCATGAGTTCTACCAATCAGATGAATACTCTCATATTGTCCAGAGAAAAAGCATTATGTCTCAAATAGACCAATTAAGAGACCATCACTATATAGCCAAAAATCAAGCAGCATATTTGCAGCATCTAAAAATCACATTACCAAGTAATCATATTTTAATATTGCTAGACTTTGCTGAAAATGACAGTTTTTTACTTCAAGATGCAGCAGTGGCGGATCTACAGTACTGCAGATTAGGCGGCCACCTAAGGAGAAATATTATATTATAAATAAGGTGTATCTTACTTTACATTTTTTTAAAGTCAAAATTTCATTAGGATTTTTTTCACGGTTTCGGATTTGAAACCGCAAAAATGAGCGAAAGTGTTAAATATATTGGCGAATATATTGATTGGCGAAATGGCTTTTTTATGCATTAGGCGAAATTTTTTTTGTCTAATCTAAGGCAATCTGGAAAATCGGAAATTTACCCTAATTTAGTTAAAATTTGGCCGCCTGATCTGAGGCGATCTGATCAGAAAATTAAGAAAACTAGACATATTTGCCTGAAATTTGGCGGATTGGGATATAGTTTACACATAAAATGTCTGGAAAATAATACACTTAGCATTTCTTTCTTCAAGTGTCTAATTTAAGCTGTCTAAGATTTTTGATAATTTGTGAA